TACTTGGTAAAATACAAGCTATAAAGCAAGAGGCAAACCTTTCTTCCATCCTTGGGTTTGAATATCACCTCTTCCCAATCTCTAGTTATGAGGCCCTGGGCAAATTAGTTAATTTCTATACATTTTGTTAAAGATAAAATCAAAATGAAAAATAGTAGCTACCTGACAGCATTTTTATGAGATTGCATAGGACGGTATTTGTTAAAAAAATTTCAAACAATATTTAAAATCTACTATATTTCATCTAATCTAAGATGCCATCAGTTGTGAGATATAGCACTATTATGTGTATTCCTAAAAAGGAAAAGCAGTGCCAATTATAATTGTAAGGTGCTATTAGTTATGTTATCTCCTGATGTGTTAAAAGGTGAAAAAAATACATATATCTTAAAATCAATGAAGTAGAATAGTTGATGCCACATAAATAATTAAAATTCTGGATCAGGCAAGCTGATTATTCAGGGCAGTGTGGACCAGTCGTAAGTTCGAATAGAAAATAATCCGTTTGTACTTGTGGATGGTTGCAGAGAAACAGAGTTCTAAGTAAACCATAGCATGACTGAATGTCCAGATCATTTCTTGACTGTTCTAAGAAGTTACACATATATTTTTAATTTTCTTGGTGAAGTTTAAAGCTGCTTTCTTTACAGACTCTCAAGGGTCATTTAGTAATCTAACCATGGCATGATGGTTTTTAATGGACTGAATGTCTGTATCCTCTCCAAGTTCACATGCTGAAGTCCTAACCCCAAATATGATTATTTTTGGAGAGATGGCCTGTGAGATGGTGATAAAAACTAAATGAGGTCATTTAAAAGCATGGAGTTAATCTGAGAGGGCCGATGTCCTTATAAAAAGAAGAAGAGACACCAAAGCTTTTTCTGTTCTCCGTGTGAGGACACAAGAAGGCGGCTGTCTGCAAGCCAGGAAGAGAGCTCTCACCAAGAATCAAACAGGCTGACATCTTGAGTTTGGACTCCCAGTCTCCAGAACTATGAGAAAATACATTTCTGTTGTTTAAGCCACCTAGTCGGTGGTATTTTGTTATGGCAGTCCAAGCAGACTGAGACAATGACCAATGGGAGAATACTTCCTGAGAGATACCTGTGAATGAATCATCCTGGCCCCTGTCCGTGGCTAGTCATTAGCTGTCAGGGAATCTTTGAATGGAAGTTTCTTATTTGCAATTGGAAACCAAAGACAGGATCTCCCTTCCAACCTTTCCCAGCCTTTACTTTTCTGCTCACTCAGTGCTAAACTTTTATACTACTTTACTGAGATTATAATTACTATTTATTTAATTTTACAATTGTATACAACTACCTATGGGAAATCAACGTTCTTGTTATGAACATTTAATTAGGCTTATCATTTTAATCACTTCTCCATATTCATGCTTTCTTAAGTAGTAGATTGAAAACTTTCTCTCTTGCTGGTAGTTTGATTCTCTGGGCACTGGTTCTGTCTGTGTGTATTTTACAAATGAAACTTTGCCTTAGCATTTGTTCTTACCAGTAATTGAATTTTGCTGCCATCAACATTGAAGATGGTGCGGCAGGGATGGTCCAGAAAAAATTCAGAATAATATAGAGGCTATTGTTTTGAAAGCATGTCTTTATGGATAAAAAGTCTGAATCATGGAATATTTTTAAACTGGTTTTATTTTGAAACACATGCATCAACAAAAACCAAGCAAAGCATTAACCAGTGGGAATCCTCAGGGAAACCTCTTTTAATGAGTAGATGAAATTGCTTACAATTCACATAACAATTTATATGTAAATGGATGTATCTGAAAATTATGAGCACACTCCAGGGTACTTGAAAAAGTTGTGTTTCCTTAATAATTTCTGAACAGAACCTCTACAATCTTGTTTATGTTATTTTTATCAGGGCAAAGGCAAGTCTCTCCAGCCTGGTATAGCCAGAGTTGGTATATTAGTTATCTACTGCTGTGTAACAAAACACCCCTAATCTTGACAACCTAAAACAATCATCAGACATTATTATTTCATAAACAGCTTTTGAGCATCAGGAATCTGGGAGTAGCTTTGCTGGGTGGTTCTGGCTCAGGATTTCCCATGAGACTATAGTTAGGCTGTTGGTTGGGGCTGTAGGATCCACTTCCACATGTATCCATGTGACCAATGGCAATTGATTAGTTCCTGGCTATGTGGGCCTCCACATAGGGCTGCTTACAACATGGTTTCCCCAGAACACATGATGAACACGAGTGAGTGTGCCACTGTCTTATCCCCTAATCATATACATGGCAAACCATCACTTCTGCTGTGGTGTGCTCTTGTCACACAGACCAACTCTGGTTTAATGTGGGAGGGGCCTGCACGAGGAGTCTGCTTGCAAGTTTACTGACACAGCTGTTGTCAGGACGCTTTAGTTTCTTACTACCTAGGATTGTCTGTAGGTCTGCTCATGCCAGGGTTTCCTGTGAGTGAGTGATCTGAGGGTCTGGAGATGACAGCCACCTAATTTTGGACTTGACAAACCAGCACATCTGCTGCATGCTGTTGGTCATATAGACCAACCCTGATACCATATGGGAAGGGACAGCACAAACATGTGAATACTTGGAGGTGGGGATGACAGGCGAGCATCTTAGAGCATGGCTGCTGCAGTTGACACATGACCTAAGCCAGGCCAGTCAGATGTACCCCTTTCTAGAACTGACACATGGAGCAGAATGACAGATTCAGAGTGGAATTACTCAGGTTGAGCCACGGTAGTGGTTCCACTTATGGTTAAGCTACATTCAATCTTCATTCTACAAACTCCTGATTTCCAATAAAATCTCTTTGCATTAAGTTAGCTCAAATCAGATTTTGTTGTTCCAACAAAAGACTCCTAACTGATAAAATGGATTCCAATGTAAATTACTGGATTGGAATTGGAGACATCAGTGTGTACTTATGTTGTACCTGCACACATAATTCCTTGATCTATTTGTTGAGAGCGTCCGAATCACCCCCCACTTGTAATAAGTAAATCTACACATTGAGATTCAGGTTCCTAAATCTGATGCCCCATGAAAAGTAACCAAGGATTCTTGAAGAAATGATGAAGGCAGGGAAAATACCAGGTAAGTCTGGAACATCTTGAGGGTCAGAAGATTAGTAAATTCTCAAAGAATGATGGGAATATGACACAGCTCCTCCTGCCTAGATGTAGGACAATATGAAGGGTCTCCTCTTGCCCAGATCTGGGATGATTTGAACATTAACATAGAATCAGTTTTACAACTATAATATTGATAACTGATTCAGGTGGAAATCATCAATGGATACTAAAACTAGTAGATGAAAATTTGATAAAGAATGGGATATATTCATAGTCTTACTAATATATCCCTCAAAATGCTTACTAATTATAAAGGGAAAAATAATACCTTTACAATGGAGAAGCCTGACAGATACCACCCTAACCATGTAATTAAAGGTAATAACACGGATAATGGGGAAAAACAGACATTGAGGGTTTCCTGATATGATGCACTAAGAATATAGAATCAGTTCTGGGAAACTCTGCTAAAAATGCATTTCTTGAATGTAATCAAGATGAAGCATCACACAAATCCAAACTGAGGGACATTCTGCAAAGTAATTGGCATGTAACTTTTGAAAAATGTCAAGGTCAAGAAAAAAAGACTGAGGAGGAGTTTCTGAATAAAGAAGGCTAATGAAACGTGACAACTGAATGCAATGCATGCACCTTGGCTGGATTCTGAGCAGGGGAAAATAGCTATAAAAGGCATTATTGGGAGATTAGCAAAATTTGAATATAGATTGTACATTACATAGTAGCATTGCATCATGCCAAATTTTCTATCTTTAATCATTATGTAACCTCATGTCTTTGTTTTTAGAAAATACACAGTGAAGTAGTTAGGGGTAAATGGGCATCATGCCTGAAATTTACTCTCAAATGGCTTTGAAAAACATGAGAGAGTGAATGATAACGCAAATGGGGCCACATGTTAACAACTGGTGAACCTGGGTGAAGTGTATGTTAGTTAGCAATTGCTGCTGTAACAAAGTACCACAGATTTAGCAGCATGTTCCTGCAGGTCAGAAGTCTGGCACTGCATGGCTGGATTGTCTGCTCAGGGTTTCGCCACTGGGTTCAAATCAGGGTATGAGCAGGCTACATTCCTTTATGGGAGGCTCTGGGGAAGAATCAGCATCCAGGATCACTTGGATTATTGGCAGTTCTTGAGGTTGTAGGAATGAGATCTCCATTTCCTTGACATGTGGCCCCTCCATAGTCAAGCCAGTAATGGCACCTTAATCTGTCTGCTTTTCAAGCTCATTTGATCACACTGGCCCCACTGGATAATCCAGGCTATGTTCCCTCTCTTAAAATCAACCAGTTGGCCATTCATGGTGGCTCATGCCTATAATCCCTGCACTTTGGGAGGCTGAGGCAGGCAGATCATTTGAGGTCAGGAGATTGAGACCAGCCTGGCCAACACTGTGAAACCCCATCTCTACTAAAATACAAAAATTAGCCTGGTGTGGTGGCACACATTTGTAATCGTAGCTACTCAGGAGGCTGAGGCAGGAAAATCACTTGAATCCAGGAGGCAGAGGCTGCAATGAGTTGGGATCACATCACTGCACTCCAGCCTGGGTGACAGAGTGAGACTCTGTCTCAAAAAAACCAAAAAGCAACCAATTAATTTCAGTCACATCTGCAAAATCTCTTTTGTCATATAATTGACATAACATAACCATGGGTGTGACCCCAGGGGTTGAGGATCCTGGAGGCCTCATTTCTGCCTAACACAGGTTCACAGAAGCTTTTTGCTCTCTTCTTACTGTCTTTATATAAATTTGAAATGACATGTTATCAAAATAAAAAGTTACAAAGACTCATAAGCACAGCACGGGAAGTTGGAAAATGTCATGATAGCATCATTCTGGTTGTGGTGGTTTCATTTCCCTCTAACAGCACTGGATCTGTTTTTCTCCCCCATTACCTATTAGGCCACCACCAAATCAAGCAAGGGACCTGTGAGGTGGTCGCCGTGCACAGGTGCTGCAATAAGAACCGCATAGAAGAGCGGTCTCAAACGGTCAAGTGCTCTTGCTTCCCAGGACAGGTGGCAGGCACAACTAGAGCTCAGCCTTCTTGTGTTGAAGGTAAGACCTCTCTGGTCAGTATTTCTGATAGGCAAAAACCCACCAGGAATCTCCCTACTTCACTGTCTTTGCAACCTAAAGAAACCTAGGGTTGCTTTGAGATCAGTTTTAATCCAAAAGTGAGCATAAATACAACTCCAAAAATTTTTTAATGAATAAGGTAAGTCTTCAATAATGTCCCTCAAGGGGTAACAATGGAGAGTTATATTATAGGCAGTTGGGAAGATGTGCTTCAATTTCTTTTGCCCACCTGTCTCCAAATCTCACTCATCAAAGGAATTGTTTCCCCAGATGCTCTGTTCTCCCTCCTCTTATACTGTACTCAAATTTAGCAGCCTGACTTTCTCACTTCATGCTTGGTGTATCCTCTCTTTAATTACTAGTTTATCATTTTAACCAACATTTATAGGACATCCTCTTCAGAACAACTTCCCTGGGAATAGTTTGGAATCATGTACCATTCATTTGTAATCTCCAAATCCCCTCGCAGAGTGCTGTGCCAGTGGTTAAAAAATATATATGAATGTTGATGGTTGTAGGGAGAGGCTGGGATTGATTTCTTTTGATACTCCTGGCTTCTTCCAGCAGACACTGTGTTAGAAACAAGTGTCAGTTCCCAGGGGAACAGATACATGGGGTTAGTCCTGTAGCAGCTGCTCTGCAGTGTCATGAAACCTCCTTGAAAATGAACATGTCCAGTCTCATTTGATGTATGTCTAAAGGTCAGTAGTTAAAACACACACATTCTTAACTCCAAATCATATTGCACAGTGAACAATAACAGCTGATTTACCTGCAGCCCATTCCCCCTACCAAACACACACATAGACATACACAACTCTGTGGGCTGTGTGGTTACAGTGGTGTATATCAGCACCATCTCAGGCACCTTTAAAGCAGGAAACTGAAAGTGGAAATTTTCTACCTGCAGTTCTTTACCAGAAACTTTTGGGGCCAAATGTGTTGTTTAATTCATACTTTGTTCATGTTTTATGTAGGTAACATAGTACATATGCCATCTATTGCCATATAGACCACTTGTACCCCATAATCATAGAAATATTATTATGTCTGCAGTGAAATATATGAATATTCATGTAGGATGTGATAAGGCTGGATAAAGAACTTCATGTTAATTCAAGTCAGGTTTTGCTGTTATCTTACGAAAACCTTTGAATTTCCAGAGCTTTTTGGATTTGGCAATTATTGATAAATGATTATGAACCTATAAAAAAGATGCAGATCTTGAACATTTAAAAAATGGCATTTAAAAGAAATATGCTGAGTTTCTATACCTCCAGCTGGGGAAGTCTAATGTATTTATCTGCTTCATCAATTGTATCCAAATCACAACCATTCTGTCTCCTGGCTGTCTCTCAAGTCAGCCCACTTCTCTCCATCCCCACTGCTACCTCCACAGTCCAGGATCTAAGGGCACACCCTTAGATCTTGCTGAGTGTGCCACGCCTCTCCTTTTACTTTCCATTCTGTAGCCAGAGATATACAAAAATGGAATGGATCATGACACTCCCATACTGAAAATCACAATTTAGTGGCTTCCCTTGTTTTGAAGATAAATTCCAAGTTCTTTACCATGGCCTGCAAAGTCATGCAAAATCTGGCTGTCTCAGTTCTCTTTCAACTACTGTACCCTAGGCAATCTAGAGTTCTTCCATTTCTGTACATTACTAATTTATGTGCCTTGCCTGAATCATTGCCCTCCTCCCCATGACACACACCTAGTCTGCTTAATTCTTCCTATTCTTCTTTCAAATCTCTTGTAAGTTCTTGTATTATCTTGGACTGCCAGTTCATGACATTCATCCCATGTTGTTGTAAAAACACATGCCTTCCAGTTAGTATGTAAGCAGCCTGTGGATGGGGACGTGGTCTCTTACTTTCATCTCTCCCCATTGGCTGGCTCATAAACAAGTTTTAGCACAGTGGAGAATGGACTTCTCTAATCACAGATTGTTCTTTATAGGCAATGTGTTTGCTTGCCTCTGTAGGCCTTAAACATCTTGTAACAAATTCTTTTTATACTCTAACCAAGAATAATGCTTCACAATATTCAAAGCACTTTTATTGGTACCTAAAAAATACTGATAGTGAAGTGATGACTATTCGTATCTTCATCTTAATAAGGAAAATATGAATATCTTACCACAAACTATCTTGTTTTAAATTTTATCTATAGGCAAATCCCCTTTGGCCACCATCCTAGAGGTAACTTCACTTACCTGTTTGGTCAATAGATTTTTCTGTATGTTTGTGTATTTGGGGATAGGTTTGTAGAACATAGTGGTAGATTTCAACATGAGTGTGTGTTTTACACAAATGCTATCACTTTGGATATTTAACTCATCCTGCTTTATTCCTATGAGTATTAGGTTGAAGAAAAATCTGTGTGTGCTGGTACATGTTGATCTAACTTGGTGTTTTAAATTGCTCCATAGCATTCCACGTATGGATAGGCAACATTATTTAGCCATTCTTCTTCCTTTTTTAATATGATGACAGGGTCTGCTCTGTCATTTAGGTCAGAGTACAGTGGCATGATCATAACTCACTGCAGCCTTGAACTCCTGGGCTCAAGCAATCCTCCTACCTTGGCCTCCCAAAGTTTTTGGATTATAGGTGTGAGCCATTACACCAGGCCACCATCCCTTTGTTGGTGGACATTTTGGTTGTGTTTATGGCAAAACAAACAGACTCACAGGTTAACTAAATGGTTTCCCTAGTGTCACAGGATCAGTAATGTAGACCAATCATGGAGCATCTGAACAGAGTCTATGCAGTGTGGTCTACTAGAACTTTCTGTGATGATGCACTTGTTCCCTGTCCATATATTTATGGAAATAACCTGTGTAGATAGGTCTCTATATCTATATGTGATGATGCATATGTCCAGTATGGCTAGTACCCATTAGCCACCCGTGGCTATGGAGCATTTGAAATGCGGCTAGTTATAAATTTAGATTTAATAGGCACTTGTGGCTCAGAGCTTCATATTGGACAATGCAGTATATGCTTTATCTAAAGATGTAACTTGAGTGTAACATTTGTGGTCAGAGAATACTAATACCCTGAAAGGTGAGATTATATCTTTCACTTGTGTCTCCTATCCCTAATATTGTCTGGCAAACAGTCGGTGTTCAATAAATGTTTATTGGATCAAAGTCACTCAGAAGTTTAGGAAGTTTAAGCTTTAGTTGGGATGTATGTCCGATTTCATCTCTCTCTGATCTCTTCCTTATCTGAAATGTTTCCATTAGGGCTTTTTAGCTTTACCTGCTTAATCTTTATCCCATAATAATTATGCAGTATCACACCCTTAATTGGCATGTGAGAAGACCTATTCTCTGCTAATACGTTCCTCTTATCTTATTTGTCAATAAGAATAGAAAAGATCTAAAATATAAAATTCACCTGAATTTACATTTAAATTAAAACAAAGGCAAGAAGGTGTTGGCATGGGGCACTAATTAATGCCAAAATAGAAATTGGAATATCCTTTTGCATTTCTCTTAATCCACACCACAGATATTTATCTAGTGTTTTCATTGCTTTTCCGTAAAACCATAGCTTATATAAACGGAGAATAATTAGCTGTTCCCCTTCTATCAAACGTTTTTGTTATAATTAAGTTATGAAACCTCCTCCAAGTTATTGAAGTGGGTCTTTGATATACATTGGAGTTTCAGGAGATTGGACAGGGAATTATTTGATTGTAAGGCTGTGGTTACTTGGGTTCTAAAACAGACAGCTATTCAGCTGGTAAGCATTCTTTTTCATGGTGGAAACTATATTCTACACATTCACCAAAATGCTGCTCTATAGAGATAAGGCTGAATGGTTTTATGATAAAATTAGACAAATGTATAGTACAAGGAAGTTTATTTTGTCAAAATGAATGCTTTCTAAATATTGGGTTTAAAAGAGATTAATAAAAGCTCAGGAATGCAAAGTAGTTAATTTTCAAAGCTATTAAAAAATTTTTGATGCCCCAATTTCTATCGCTTTGTTGTTGTTGTTGTTTTTGAGATGGAGTCTCGCTCTGTTGCACAGGCTGGAGTGCAGTGGCATGATCTCGGCTCACTGCAACCTCTGCTTCCAGGGTTCAAGCGATTCTCCTGTCTCAGCCTCCCGAGTAGCTGAGACTACAGGCATGTGTCACCATGCCTGGGCAATTTTTTTGTATTTTTAGTAGAGACAGGGTTTCAACGTGTTAGCCAGGATGGTCTCCACCTCCTGACCTCATGATCTGCCCACCTCGGCCTCCCAAAGTTCTGGGATAATAGGCGTGAGCCACTGCACCTGGCCCACTTTTTCAAGGTACCAGAATTAATTTAGTTAAGAAGGGGAGTTACTGTTTGGACTGCAGACAACTTTCATGGCTTTATGGGCTGTGTGATGAGACATAGGATCTCTCTTTACAATGTTTCTACTGGGATTTTTTTTTTTTTTTATTGGGCATGTTCTCCTTCCACCTAAAAGATATTTTTCTCAGTGCAGTCAGGTGAATGACAGGATTTTACCAAAACACTTAGGGAGTTGGGAGGATAGGTATGTTGCATATGCTGGTTCATTCATCAAGTTTTAATTTGGCACCTTTGTGCCTGACCTGCCCTAGATGCCAGACAGAAGCATGATAAGGAGACTCATGTCCTAGTTTCAAGGAATCCAGAATTTACTAGTTCAGAGAAACAAACTCTCATTAATGAAGGAATTCAAGGGAGAACAGAGAGGTGGTCAGGGATGCTGCCCTTGAGAAGAAATGGGTCTGAATTTAGTAGGTAGAAGGATATGACGGTAGAAGGAATTAGGGAACAAGGAAGCACAAAGCATATGAAAATGAGTGGGGCTAACTTGGGAAATAGAAGTAGCTTTGTCTGGCTTGGAAACAGTAGAAAACAAAATCACAGCTTTTGATGTGAGAGGCCTTAGAGTAAGTCAAATTTTAGGATTTAATTCCTGCCTTCTGGGAATTTGCATTTTAG